GGCCGCTGCTCCATGCGGTGTGTGTAACGGCAGTTACCGCACCGTCGAGGCAGAGAGCTCGGTATTTTTCAGAGGGAGGAGAATTTGATTTTCCCCCAAACTGCCTGGCTGTCCATTATGTCTGTCCTGTGGCAATGACAGGGAAGCCAGCTGGCTTCAGCGCTCAACAATAAACAACAACGTTGTCTGGCTCCAGCAGACAAACCAGAGCTGGCCTTCTGTCCCCGGTGATGATGAATACACTCCTGCAGCCATATTTATCTGCTGGCAGTGGCCGGGCTTTCTGGCCACGGGACCGGATATCGATAAAGCTGGAAGAAGATCTCCCGTACAGTGCAGACGAAATGCAGACGTCAAGGTTCGACGCACCTGGCGATGGCGGTTTATGCGTCGCCGGGCTCCTTTATGCGGCAAATAATCGTGTTTACACACAAGATTTGTGTAGAAACGAGTCCGGGGCCGTCGTCGGGGCCCCTTTTTTTTTTAGCCGCTTAATCCCGACGCGTGCGCCGCGCTCCATTTCATCTGGCGGTAATGAGCTGGAGCTGAACCCTGCAGGGAGTCTGCACATGTATATGTAGATCCATCCTGCGGTGAGGCCTAAGCCGTGTCGAGTCACGCAGCAAAGCAAAGCAAAACGGCGTAGCGACACGTCGCTGTGGTGTCCTGTGTGTTTGTACAGTGGATGACTTTCTAACACTCCTGGTGTGCTCCACTGACTTCATCAAAAAAAAGAAAAAACACACAAATGCAAACATTACAAAGCATGAGCTCAAGCATCCTCGGATTGCCTTCAAACGGCGTTCTGCTGTTTCCGCACTTACAGCTGCTAACATTCGTTTCACCGCCACTGGTTATGTAGCCGTAAATCAGTGTAATTACTGTATTAAGTTATATTTCCCCACACAAAAATTTGAAGGGCTAACCACCCCTGTTAGTGCTACTTTAATTATTAAGCAGTCGCAATATAAATGCTGTGGTCAACAGGTTTAAAATGGGAACATGAGGCAAATCGGGATCCACGCTGAGGGAGCTCAATGTATAAAAATCTCATTTAATCTCTCATTTTCTGCACAGAGTTGCAAATATTTCAGTGGCAAAAGGGAGTTACGGGGTTCACCATGTGTGTTGTGCAGTACACTGCAAAAACAAGCTATTTCAGGTGTAGTTTCTAGTGCAAATCTTAGTACATTAAACTTACAAGAGGTAAGATATATTGAAATAAATGTTATCTGACTTTGAGCATGGCGATGTATTAAGATGAAAGAAGTGTGCTGTTTCTATGTTTTGGATTTATATGAGCTGAAGATGGCAGAGTGGTCATCAGTTGCAGGTTTTCGGCGCTATGGCAGTCATCCAGCAACCCAC